AGTTATTATAATCTAAGATTATATAAATAGAGTACTTATTATCTTATAAGTAATATCTTTAATTTTTAAAGTTTAATATAATCGTATAGAGCTTTTTATTATATATATCTTAGCGAGACTTAGCGCCTTTAAATTTATAGCTAGAAAAAGTAATAGAATATTATTACTTATCCCCGCTTAGTTAGCTAAATATACTATTTATATCTATATTAGAAATATTAATCTTTATAATAAGCGATACTTTTTAATTATAGTATTTTAGTATAGATACGATAATAAATACTCGCTTAAGTATCTTAAAAGCCTTACGTACTTTCTTATTAAATACGAAGGGTAATCTAATCTTATTTTTCTTTACTTCTCGAATTAGATTCGTTAAAGACGTAGTTATCTACGAAAAGTCTTATATAAATCATCGATAAAAGTCTATAAATCTTAGAAAGACTAAGATATTCTTAGTAGACTCTAATTCTAATTACTTAGTAATAATCTTAATACGCGATAACTCTATTTAGATACCACGCTAGTTTATTAAGAACTCTAGAAAGATAATCTTATTACGATTAAAAGTATATTTCGATAACTTCGTATAGAGTCGATACTTTAATAATACGCGTAGTACTTTACGTATATACTTTTAATATAACTCTTTCGTTTCGAAATAGATTAGTATATTATTTAAGTATATTATATAGAAGATATCGATATATAGCTTAAGTACTTTATTTATATAAGCTTAAAAGATTACGAGGGTATTTACGAGGTTAAAAGATATTACTTAATACTTAAACTAGTCGTAGCGAGTTCGAAAGATAATTTTCTATTTATCTTCCTTTCGTACTTATATTCAATAATATATATTATAAATATTAATCTTAATAAAGTATTTTATATATATAAATCTTTTTAAAGTCTTTAAGAGTAGTAATAATAAGTAATTATTCTTAATAGTTATCTCGTTAAGTTCTCGATAATTAATATATAATTATAGCGAGCTATTTAATTTCTTAATAAATAGTATTAGCGAGTTAATTTAATTAATTAAAAATTAAATTTACTTTCTCTTAAGCGTAGTATTTAGATAGTTCTTAATCGCTACGAGTTCGTTATACGATATATTATAAATCGAATTATTTTTAAATAGCTTTTTAGATTATAGATCGATAGAGTATTTAATCTAATTATACGTATTAAGACTATTAAATAACTCTTTTAAAAAGACTTTTAATAAATTTTTAAATTATTTAAATATATTAAAGTTATTTAACTACGTAGTATTATATTATATAGCTTTATCGTAGTTATTCTTACTACTTTTAGATAATATCTAATATAAGAAAACGATAAACGCTTATTCTAGATTATATATAATTACTATATTAGTTAATAACGTAAACTATTCTATATCTATTATTACGATATCTACTTATATCTTATTACTTATAGAAAAATCGCGATAGATCTAAAATTACTCGCGTTAATAAATATCTAAATCGATATTATAGATTTAAGAGAAATTAAAAATAAGATTATATCCTCGCATGTCTATAATATACGCCTTTAAGATTTACTCTTACTTTTTTCCTTAACTATCCGCGAGATTAAAGACTAGATTATATTTCTTATATAAGAATATTTAATAATTATCGATAGCACGTACTATTATTAACGCGTATTTAAGTTTAGAAATCTACGTCTCTTTAATAAAAGATTACGATATAAAGATTTTCTCGCTATCGATATTTATTAGAATAGTTATCTTACGCTTTTTATTTAATATAGTAATTTCGCCTCTTAATAATAGAGAGCGAGATCGCCGCTTAATTAATAACGTATCTAATACTATAGCGATAAGTATTAGACTTTATCTTTTCTCTTATTTAATCTATAATTGCGTACTTTATTATCTATAATATAATTTAAATATTTAGATAAATTCTTATAATATTCTAGTTGCTTATAATTATAATATTATATCTTAATAAGAAATATCTTTAGCTTAGTATAAGAGTCGCTATCTTCGAGTTTAATTCGCTTAGACTTTCGGCCTTATAACGTTAACGAGAACGAACTCTTCTTTTAATCTTTTTATTTCTTTATATATTATCTCTTAAGCTTAGTATACTATTAACTACTACTTCTCTAATTACTTATCTTATTATTAAAGCGAGTTTTATCTAGAGTAGAAAGCTCTTTCGTTTTTTATAGCCTTTGCTCTATACTCTAATACTATTATAGTAATATAATATAGATAATAAATTAAGTAGCCTCCTTTATAACTTCTAGAGAAATTTTCTCTATTACTCTATCTCATAGGCTTTTTATATATTCTAGATCGATTATATAGTAATCTCGCTACGACTAGAGTATAGTAAGATAATTATTAAAGCTAACTATTAATTATATATCTCTTATAATCGCTTTAATTAACTAGCGTTCTACGTTATAAGACTTAATAACTAAATTACGAACTTAATTTAAGTATTATCTCTTATATTTCTTCTAGATAAATTCTCTAATATTATATAATATCGTATCTCTAATATTTCTTTAGATTTACTTCTTAGTATCTATTAAGAGAATAGAAAACTAGCGAGTCTTTTCTTCGTTTATATAAAAATCGATATAAAACGTCGAGGCGATAAAATCGTTATAATCTTAAAGAAATATAACTATTAAGTTATAATTGTTAAGGTACTATATATTAGATATCTTAATAACGCTTATCTTCTTATAACTCGAATTACGATAATAATTATTACTATACTTATAACGATATTCTCATATATTCTATATTTCGATTAGCTTAAGTTTTTCGATAACTAGTTACTTTTTAATATTAAGCTCTAGAAATCGATAGCGTTAAATTTAAGTTAAGTCTATAAGGCGAGAGTCTTCGCTTATAAATAAAGAGTTATTAGATATAACGCTTTAGCGATTATTATTTCCGCCGATAGTGTAGTTAAAATTTCTACGAATATTATAATTAATATTATAATCGCTTAATTATATAGTAGATATATTCTAATAAGAGTCGCTTATTAAGTTAAAAACGTTATCTATAAATTGTAATAGAACGTTTCTACTTCGTAAATTAATAGAATTAACTCGCGAGTTACTTATTATAGCTAAACTAAGTAACTCTATATAAATAAAGTTATTAGAATTATAAGATAATAAAGTCTCTTTTAATAGAACTACGTAATAGCTATATAATTACGAGATCTAGATATATAGTTAATAAAATAGATAGATTAATTATTAAATAAATTAATAACTAAAAAAAGAAGAAGAAGAAAGAAGACTTATAAGTATTTAAGACTTTATTAAATATATTAAATACTCGTCTTAGCTACGTAGCTTATAGCCTAGTAAGCGACGTAAGCGAGCCTATTAGTTCGCTCCGAGTACTTTTACTCTTATACTAAGTCTTTTTATCTAAGTTAAAATAAATAAATATAAAAATAGTAATAAAAGCTTTCTTAAATATTTCGAAAGCGAGTTATTTAGAGTATTCTTAAGTTTATAAATAAATAAAGTCTTTCTTCTATTAAGTATAAATAAGATTTATTAAAAATATAACGATTTTAAAGTATCTCGTAATAAACTTTTAATAGAAATTAGCGAATTTTAAGAATATTTATATATCTTTAATATATCTAATTTTTTTTTATTAAATAATAGCCTTAATTTTCTTTATATCTATTTTTACTTCTTTTATTATAATAATTAATTCTAAATATTTAATTCTAATAATATAAAAATTATATTTATTAATATTAAGATAGAGATTAACTTATCGAAGTTTCTTTAATATCTTTTCTATATATTAAATATACTTATCTTCGATATTACTATAGATAAGAATATCGTCTAAATAAGTAATATAAAATATATTTAAATATTCGCGTAAGATATTATTAATAAATATTTAAAAAGTAATAAAGATATTATATAACTCGAAAGGTATAATTATATATTTAAATAAGCTATATCGAGTAAAAAATACGATTTTTTTCTTATAATTCTTTTTTATTCTAATTTCGTTAAAAGCGGCTATAATATCGAATTTACTATATATCCTCGCTATATATAATTTAATAAGAGTCTCTTTAATTAATAAAGAAGTATTTTAATTAAAAATAATAAGTATATTTAAGACTCTATAGTCTATATATAGTCTAAATTTCTTATCGAGTTTTTTTATAATTAGAATAAATACTATATAGAGAGAAGTACTTAATCTAATATAGTCTTTCTCTAATATCTTATTAATATATTTCTTTATAACTAATATCTAATCTTTAAAAAGCCTATAAGCTCTCTTTAATAGTAGAATAACTTCTTTTTTAAGATATATTTTATAATTAATAAAGCGATAAATAGAAAGTTTATTAATTTTAATAGAATTTTAAACGTCTAGTTATTTATAATATATTATAAAAACTTATTTTTATAGCTATTCTATAATTAGAGGTTTCTTTTTTAGCTTATAAAAGAATTTTTTATAATCTTCTATTATAATAGCGACGATATTAATAATAAACTTCGCTTTCTTATTAATAAAGTTAGAAAATTATTCGAAATCTTAGAGCTATATAATAATAACTTAATTCTCTAATTTTTTAATTATCTTAGTAAAGATATAGACGAAGATCTCTACTATATTCTTTTCTTTAAATATAATCTTTATTATATAATTTAAATTCTTTTTTAAAAACTTATTATTACTTTAAATAATAATAGATTTATTATATAATAAATAGTTAGATATATAATAATCTAAATTAAATATAATAATTCTAAATCTAAAGAATATATAAGAGTTATACTATTCTAGCTATATGTCACGATACGTCAAGGCCTCCTTCAGAGCCACCACCCATTTAGGCCTAGCGTGGCTTGGCACCGCACATATCTGCCCTGCGGGCACATAGAATAATCAACATCTTTTACACCACACACCAAATTATGACATAGTCACATTGTCTCCTGACAACATGGTAGCAACACCTGAAGATCATTCAACAGGCGTCTATTAAGTTTATTCCGCTCCCACACCAGTTGCCTACTCCTCCCCTAGGACCCCACCTACCTCAACACCAAGTACGCTCCTGAATCAGTACTCACAGTCCCACGAGTCCCTACACGATATCGTCCACGTCGATCCTTTCACTAGGCCACTCGATATCACCATAACATCCAGCAGCGAGATCACGATCCCTGGCTTCTCAGCAGAGCAAGTCCGCTCCATTACCAAGCTCATAGAAGACGTGCTCGACAAGGCACTCGACAAGCACTTTGACCCACTGCCACCACAGCAAAAGCAGTCAGTGATAGCGCCAAAGCCGGCACAGCCACCGGCGCAGGAACAAGAGCATATGCCATTGCAACAGGCAAATGTGGAGAAAATTGCGGAGAAAACTATGGAGAAGAACAAGAGCACGGACAGCAGCAGTCCTATGCAAACGGGCGCACTCTCCACAATTCCACACCAGGCCACTATGCAGAATTGCGGAGATCCTTCCCCTCGCCTCAGCAGTACTCCACTTTCTACCTCGCTTCTCGCCTCTCTTCTCGCCTCTCAACTCGCCTCTTTTCTTACTTTCGCCTCTCCGCTCGGCTACATTCGATTCGCGAAGGATATGGAGGCTATAGGCCAAGGCTAGGTGCATGGATATATGGACGGCGCATGATTGATGTAGCTATCTAGAGATGCAGCCACGAGGACGTGTCTTTTTTTCATTCTTTGCGGGCATGTTGTCACGGTACGCCAAGGCCTCCTCCAGAGCCACCACCCATTTGGGCCTAGCGTGGCTTGGCACCGCACATATCTGCCCTGCGGGCACATAGAATAATCAACATCTTTTACACCACACACCAAATTATGACATAGTCACATTATCTTCTAACACTATAGTATTTCTAGAATAATATTAAATTATCTTAATAAGATAATTAAGTATTAAAGTTCTTCTATATAATTTTCTAAAATAAGTTTTATTAAGATTATATATATAATATTAGAAATAAAGATAAAATTATTATTAGTTAATTATAATTTATAAAATTATATTAATATTACTTTAAATAGCTTATTTACTTTAATAAAAAATATATTTATAAAGTTTAATATTAAAGCTTTAATATCTAAGAGATAATTAATCTTAATCTATTTTATTAATATAATAATTTTCTTATAAAAGTTTAATTAATATTTATTCTATAAAGAGGTTTCGATAGCGATAATATACGCGGATAGAGAGATGAAAGCGAGTATTCTTTCTATTTCTAACTCTTTAATTTTTATATATAAGATTTCTAGATCTCTAATAACGACTTAATTAAGAATATTTAATTTTCTAATTTTTATAATAATTCGATAAGAATATTCTTCTTTATATCGACGGCTTTTAGAATTATATTAACTTATTCTTTTATTAATAGATCTATATTCTTATATAGAGTACTATTATCGCTAGAATAATATTTAATCTTTAGATATTTAAAATATCTATCTTCTTTTTAAATTCTATCTATTAATAATTTAGAATACTTATATTCTTATATATTAAAATTTTTAGTAATAATATTATTATTTCTTTTAGTAAAGAAAGTATTACGTTAATTATTCGAGAGAATAAAGTTCTTATTAATTTTATTAATCTCTTTCTTACTCTTTAAATCTAATACGTTATTAATAATCTAAAAATCTATATTTAATACTTATAGAAAAATAATTAAATTTCGAAAAGTATTAAAAGACTATTCTAAAATTCGATATTTTAGATATATAGAGATTAATCGTTTTAGATTAAATATCTTATAAATTTTAATAAATTTTAAGAGAGTAATAGCTATAGAGAATTATACGTAGAAGTTCTTAAATAATTTCTTCTTATCTATTACTCTTATATTAAATTTAAAATTAAATATCTTAATATTCGATTTAATAATCTTATTATACGTTTTAAATATATTATCTAATTCGTCGATTATTTCTTAGATAATTTAATATAAATCTAAAATATCTTCGTTTACTCTTATTTTAATAATATTATAAGTAGTAAACTTATAATAATCCCGTATATAATCGATTTTCTTAAATTTAATAAAGAAGATTATAGCGCTTTATTTAAACTTCGCTTTAAGATATTAATATTAACTATCTCACTTAATTCGATTATTAATATTATAAAAATTCGAAATATCGAGATATCGTTTATTTAATTCTATACCCTCTACGCGATCCGTGATAGGAATATAATATAAGTTTTAATAAATGCTATTAATAAAAATACTTAGCTAACGAAATATAGATATAACCTCTATATCTTTCTTATCGAAGTTTTTTAAATTAGCTAATATATAAGATTATTACTTCTTTAACTATTACTCTTTATACTTTAAGTCTTATTTAAATTTTTTATTTTCTTTAATAAATTTCGTAATATTAATATAATATCTATTACGTAAATCTCGAAGTTTATTATTAGTTTTTCGCTTATAAAATAATTAGCTATTATTATTACTTAGCTTAATAGTAATTATTAATATCTTTATCTTAATATAAGTAATATTCTAATTAAGTTTTTATTTTATTATTAAAGTATTTTAATATTATAATTAGTAATTCGAAAACTCTCTATTAGAGTTTTTATTTTATTATATTAAACGAGTAAAGGCCTATGAATTAAATTCATAATCATTTTTTTAATCAGGGCTGTCCGGCTGTCGAGCGATCTTTGGTGAGCGAACTTTGGTGAGCGATATTTGAATTCCTTGCGCTTTAATGATTATAAGATAGATTTTCAAAATTCTTAAAAATTCGAAAAGCGCAAATAGCGCTTCATAATTTAAAATAAAAAATCTCAAAATTTTAATAGAAAATAAAAAAGTTTTTCCTATTGTGAATAACGTATACCTATTTTTTGATGAGGGAGGCGCGGGAGGGCGAGATTTTGATGGTTGCGGACGCTAATTTATTTACCCGCGGTGTCTAACCAAAAAGCGTAGACCTAATGAATTGATGATTGGCTGCACATACAAATTCAAGGTTTTCTAGTTCAGCCCTATCTTATTCTTTTATATATACTGATATTAGAAGTATTAATAGCGCTTTTTATAAAATTCTATAAATTAATAATAAATATAAAGATTATAATAAACTCTTCTTTAATAATATTTATAAGTTATACTCTAATATAATCTAAACTAAATTTAATAATATATCTTCTAGAGATAGAATATTTTCTCTTATATTATATAAATAATATAATAATATTTAAGATCTTCTTATCGAAGTTCTCGAGTTCTTCTAGACGATAATATATCTATAACTTACTTATAATAATTTAACTTTATATATTATCTAGATTTAAAGTTAATAAGTTTATTAATATTAAGCTAGTAAGAGTATAAAGAAGATTTAATCTAAGATCTATTTCTTTTAATATATTAAAAATATTTATTTTTTTTAAATTCTTATTTAATTTAGCTAGATTAATCTTTATATAAATAAAAGATTTTTTTTTAAATAATCTTTTAAGTAGTAAACTTCTTTAACTATAACTATTAACTTCTTAATAATATACTTTTTTTTTAATTATATATTTAGTATAATTAATAAATAAATCGCTATTACTCTAGAAGAAAGATAAATAATATTATATTAGAGACTTAATAATATATATAATAACTCTATATTATAATATAAAGAGAATATTATCTATATAGAATTATTATAAATATAAACTTTATAGTAAGATAGAAAGGCCGAAAGGCCTTAATACGCTAAGCTTAATTAGATTATAATATAAGTAAGTAAGATCGTAAGGTTATTAAAACCGTAATATTTTAATAGAATTTCAAATATCTAGCTATTCGTAATATACTATAGAAATTTATTTTTATAATTATTTCGTAGTTAATAATTTCTTTCTTAGCTTATAAAAGAATTTCTTATAATCTTTCGCTATAATAGCGGCGACGTTAATAATAAACTTTACTTCTTTATTAATAAAATTAGAAAGTTATTCGAAGTTTTAAGACTATATAATAATAACTTAATTATCTAATTTTTTAACTATCTTAATAAAAATATAGATAAAGATCTCTATTATATTCTTTTTTTTAAATATAATCTTTACTATATAATTTAAATTCTTTTTTAAAGACTTATTATTACTCTAAATAGTAATAGATTTATTATATAAGTAAAGGCCTATAAATTAAATTCATTGAGTTGGATTTTTCATTTATCTAAGTCAAATGGAGTTAAATTTTTCTAAGTTAAATGGAATTTTAGCCCTAGCCCTAAGTCAAATCGAACTCTAATCGCTTGCTGTGCGTTTTTGACCTACTTTCACCACTACAAAATTGATTTAATCTATATGATATATAGGCATATATGTGCGGAGAGAGGCGCGCTAAGGCCTAATTAGGAAGGTGTATTGAGTGTGAAGGATTAATCCGTAATAATTGCCCATAAAAAACAGAGAAAGGCCATGTCCTTATGGCAAGAAGTATCGAAATACCGGAAAGAAATGGAGACAACATGCCAATTAGTGGTGTGAATCCCACATTATCTCCTGCCGCAGTGAAATCATTCGAATAATAAAATAGCTGTCAGAGCAAGACATCGGACGGTTTTAATTCGTCCAAATATGTATCGTCCGATATTCCTCCTATAGAGGCCTAATTGACTGTGATCGTCGCAGTAGATCCTCCTCTTATAACGTTATTGCAGTGATATACCATATTAATGCAGTGGGGATGACAGGCCAAGTTGCAGTGGTGTTCTCCGCTTGCTGAGTGATGATTTGATGTGGAACCGTGGAGAGCATGTGACGTGGGATCTTGGAGAGCTGAGCCGTGTTCTTGGCGATGGGGGCCTTGTTGCCGCTTGGTTTCTCCCAGTGTTCTCCGCAGTGTTCTCCGCATTTGCCTGTTGTAGTTCCTCCTCTTACTCCTTAATGCAGTGGGGATGACAGGCTAAGTTGTAGTGGTGTTCTCCGCTTGCTGAGTGATGATTTGATGTGGAACCGTGGAGAGCATATGACGTGGGATCTTGGAGAGCTGAGCCTGTTCTTGGTGCTGGGGGCCTTGTTGCCGCTTGGTTTCTCCGCAGTGTTCTCCGCATTTGCCTGTTGTAGTTCCTCCTCTTGCTCCTCAATGTAGTGGGGATGACAGGCCAAGTTGCAGTGGTGTTCTCCGCTTGCTGAGTGATGATTTGATGTGGAACCGTGGAGAGCATATGACGTGGGATCTTGGAGAGCTGAGCCGTGTTCTTGACGATGGTGGCCTTGTTGCCGCTTGGTTTCTCTTTCCGCAGTGTTCTCCGTAGTGTTCTCCGCAGTGTTCTCCGCATTTGCCTGTTATAGTTCCTCCTCTTACGATGTTCCTCCTATAGAGGCCTAATTAACTATAATCGTCGCAGTAGATCCTCCTCTTATAACGTTATTGTAGTAATGTATTATATCAATGTAGTGGGGATGATAGGCCAAGTTGTAGTGGTGTTCTCCGCTTGCTGAGTGATGATTTGATGTGGAACCGTGGAGAGCATATGACGTGGGATCTTGGAGAGCTGAGCCGTGTTCTTGGTGCTGGGGGCCTTGTTGCCGCTTGGTTTCTCCGCAGTGTTCTCCGCATTCGCCTGCTGTATTGACTTCTCTTGCACTGGCTGAGTGGATTGGTGTGAGACCGTGGAGAGTAGGCCTGTTGTGTCACTGCTGCTGATGACTGTCTCCGCAATGTTCTCCGCAGTGTTCTCCGCATTCGCCTGCTGTATTGACTTCTCTTGCACTGGCTGAGTGGATTGGTGTGAGACCGTGGAGAGTAGGCCTGTTGTGTCACTGCTGCTGATGACTGTCTCCGCAATGTTCTCCGCAGTGTTCTCCGCATTCGCCTGTTGTAGATCCTCCTCTTGTTTAACTGAGTGCGAGGGTACCGAGGGTAGATGTGTTCATATTGGTGGAATTAATAGAATTAATAGAATTGGTAGAATTGGTAGAATGGTGGAAGAAGAATGGTTACACAAATAGGTGGAAGGATTATTATCCGATCCCGGACGCGTTTGGTGTGACTACAATATTTGAATGTCAGTTTAACCCACCTATCGCTGGCTTGGGAGGAGTATGTAGGGGAGGACGTATCCGTTCGGGCTCTTTTTGAGGGCCTTCCAACGCGTTTATGAGCAGTAGTAGGTAGCGCTTGCGACCTCGATTGCCAGCAGTAGCGGATTCGCCGAGGGGTGGCCTGGGGGCGTCAGTAGGGGCTCTAAGAGGCGGGTAAAAGGGGTGTACGTGCCTGAACCGGACGCGTTTGGTGTGACTACAATATTTGAATGTCAGTTTAACCCACTTACCGCTGGCTTGGGAGGAGTATGTAGGGGAGGACGTATCCGTTCGGGCTCTTTTTGAGGGCCTTCCAACGCGTTTGGTGGAATTGGTAGAATTGGTAGAGTGGTGGAAGAATAATGGTTACACAAACAGGTGGAAGGATTATTATCCGATCCCGGACGCGTCTGGTGTGACTACCATGACTACCATATTTGAATGTCCATTTAATCCACCAATAGTAGGCCAAACTTCATAATTTTTACAGCGTTAGAAAGCGCAAAGCGAGCTTTACAATTTGAGGAATTATGAAGTAACTGTATGTATCGCAAGCTGAGTACTTCAAAGTGTAAAACTTCTATATACAAATTTTTGATAAGGGAGCTCGGGAGGGCTATCGGGCTGACTTAGCCGGTCTAACCAAAGAGCGTAGCGAACCCGAATTTATGATTGGCTGCACATACAAATTCAAGGTTTTCAAGCTCAGCTCTATCTTATTCTATTATACAAGTAAAGGCCCATGAATTAAATTCATGGAGTTGGATTTTTCTAAGTCAAATCGAATTTTAGCCCTAGCCCTAAGTCAAATCGAACTCTGATCGCTTGCTGTGCGTTTTTGATCTACAAACAGGCAAATATGTGCGGAGAGAGGCGCGCTAATGCCTAATTAGGGAGTAATAATTGCCCATAAAAAATAGAGAAAGGCCATGTTCTTATGGCAAGAAGTATCGAAATACCGGAAAGAAATGGAGACAACGTGCCAATTAGTGGTGTGAATCCCACAATATCTCCTGCCGCAGTGAAATCTTTCGAATAATGAAATAGCTGTAGACATCGGACGGTTTCAATTCGTCCAAATATGTATCGTCCGATGTTCCTCCTGTAGAGGCCCAATTGACTGTGATAGTAGATCCTCCTCTTGTGACGTTATTGCAGTGATGTATCATATTAATGCAGTGGGGATGACAGGCCAAGTTGTAGTGGTGTTCTCCGCTTGCTGAGTGATGATTTGATGTGGAACCGTGGAGAGCATATGACGTGGGATCTTGGAGAGCTGAGCCGTGTTCTTGACGATGGTGGCCTTGTTGCCGCTTGGTTTCTCCGTAGTGTTCTCTCCGCTTGCTGAGTGATGATTTGATGTGGAACCGTGGAGAGCATATGACGTGGGATCTTGGAGAGCTGAGCCGTGTTCTTGACGATGGTGGCCTTGTTGCCGCTTGGTTTCTCCGCAGTGTTCTCCGCATTTGCCTGTTGTAGTTTCTCCTCTTGCTCCTTAATGTAGTGGGGATGATAGGCCAAGTTGTAGTGGTGTTCTCCGCTTGCTGAGTGATGATTTGATGTGGAACGGCCAAGTTGCAGTGGTATTCTCCGCTTCTCTTACTCCACCTCTAGTAGAGTATTAGACTGAGTGGCTAGCTGAGTGGCTGACTGAGTGAATAACTAATATAACGTGGGATCTTGGAGAGCTGAGCCGTGTTCTTGACGATGGTAGCCTTATTGCCGCTTGGTTTCTCCGTAGTATTCTCCGCATTTGCCTATTATAGTTCCTCCTCTTACTCCTCCTCTTGTAGAGTATTAGACTGAGTGGCTAGCTAAGTAACTAACTAAGTGAATGACTAATATAACGTGGGATCTTAAAGAGCTAAGCCGTGTTCTTGACGATGGTGGCCTTATTGCCGCTTAGTTTCTCCGTAGTATTCTCCGCATTTACCTATTATAGTTCCTCCTCTTACTCCTTAATATAGTAGAGATGACAGGCTAAGTTACAGTAGTGTTCTCCGCTTACTAAGTAATAATTTAATATGAAACGACCAAGTTATAGTGATATTCTCCGCTTACTAAGTAATAATTTAATATAAAACCGTGGAGAGTATATAACGTGGGATCTTAGAGAGCTAAGCCGTGTTCTTGACGATAATAGCCTTATTACCGCTTGATTTCTCCGTAGTATTCTCCGCATTTATCTATTATAATTCCTTCTCTTACTCCTTAATATAGTAGAGATAATAGATTAAGTTATAGTAGTATTCTTCGCTTATTAAGTAATAATTTAATATAAAATTATAAAGAGTATATAACGTTCGAACGCGTTTAATATGACTATAATATTTAAATATTAATTTAATTCATTTATCGCTAACTTAAAAGAAGTATATAAAGAAAAACGTATCCGTTTAAGCTCTTTTTAAGAGTTTTTTAACGCGTTTATAAGTAGTAATAGATAGCTATTAAGCTTACTTACGGCCTCGATTATTAATAATAGCGAATTCGCTAAGAGATAATCTAAGGGCGTTAATAGGGGCTCTAAGAGGCGGGTAATAGAGATATATATATCTAAAACGTTAAGTAACCTTTAGGCGAGGGGTATCGAAGACGATTATATTCATATTAATGGAATTAATAGAATTAATAGAATAGTAAAAGAAGAATAGTTATATAAATAGGTGAAAGGATTATTATTCGATTTCGAACGCGTCTAATATAACTATTATAACTATTATATTTAAATATTTATTTAATCTATTAATAGTAGGCTAAACTTTATTATTTTTATAGCGTTAGAAAGCGTATATTAAGCTTTATAATTTACGAAATTATAAAGTAATAGTATTCTTAGAGAGATAGTTATTTTAGAGTATAAGACTTCTATATATAGATTTTTATAGATTTTTGATAGTTGCGGACGCTAATTTATTTACCCGCGGTATCTAATTAAAAAGCGTAGATCTAACGAATTAATAATTAACTGTATATATAAATTCAAGATTTTCAAGCTTAGCTCTATCTTATTCTATTATATATACTAATATACTAATAATAAATAGTTAAATATATAATAATCTAAATTAAATATAATAATTCTAGATTTAAAGAATATATAAGAATTATATTATTTTAATTATAATATATCTAGAATAATATTAAATTATTCTAATAAGATAATTAAGTATTAAAGTTCTTCTATATAATCTTCTAAAATAAGTTTTACTAAGACTATATATATAATATTAGATATAAAAATAAATTTATTATTAACTAATTATAATTTATAGAATTATATTAATATTATCTTAGATAGCTTATTTATTTTAATAAAAGATATATTTATAAAATTTAATACTAAAGCTTTAATATCTAAAAGATAATTAATTTTAATCTATTCTATTAATATAATAGTTTTTTTATAAAAATTTAATTAGCGTTTATTTTATAAAGAGACTTTAATAGCGATAGTATACGCGAATAGAGAGACGAAAACGAGTATTCTTTCTATTTTTAACTCTTTAATTTTTATATATAAAGCTTTTAAGTTCTTAACGGCGACTTAGCTAGAGATATTTAATTTTCTAATTTTTATAATAATTCGATAAGAATATTCTTCTTTATATCGATAACTTTTAAAACTATATTAATCTATTATTTTATTAATAAATTTATACTTTTATATAGAATACTATTATCGCTAAAATAATTTTTAATTTTTAGATATTTAAAATATTTATCTTTTTTTCGAATTCTATTTATTAATAGTTTAAGATATATATATTTTTATATATAAGAATTTTCGATAGTAATATTATTATTTCTTTTAGTAAATAAAGTATTATGCTAATTATTCGAGAGAATAAAATTCTTATAACTATTACTAATTTTATTAGTTTCTTTCTTATTTTTTAAATTTAATATATTATTAATAGCTCGTAGATCTATATCTAATACTTATAAAAAAATAACTAATTCTTAAAAAGTATTAAAAGACTATTCTAAAATTCGATATCTTAAATATATAAAGATTAATCGTTTTAGATTAAATATCTTATAAATTTTAGTAAATTTTAAGAGAGCGATAGCTATAGAGAATTATATATAAAAATTCTTAAACGATTTCTTTTTATCTATTACTTTTATATTAAATTTAAAATTAAATATCTTAATATTTAATTTAATAATCTTATTATATATTTCGAATATATTATCTAATTCGTTAATTATTTCTTAAACAATTTAATATAGATTTAAGATATCTTTATTTACTCTTATTTTAATAACGTTATACGTAGTAAACTTATAATAATCTTATATATAATCGATTTTCTTAAGTTTAATAGAGAAGATTATAGCGCTTTATTTAAATTTCGCTTTAAGATATTAACGCTAGCTATTCTACTTATCTCGATTATTAATATTATAAAAATCCGAGACGTTAAGATATCGTTTATTTAATTCTATACTCTCTACGCGATTCGTAATAGAGATATAATATAAATTTCGATAAATATTATTAATAAGAATACTCGACTAACGAGATATAATCTCTATATTCTTTTTATCGAAGTTTTTTAAATTAGCTAATATATAAGATTATTACTTCTTTAGCTATTACTCTTTATATCTTAAATCTTACTTAAATTTTTTATTTTCTTTAATAAATTTCGTAGTATTAATACGATATCTATTATATAAATCTTAAAGTTTATTATTAATTTCTTACTCGTAGAATAATTAATTATTACTATTATTTAACTAAGTATTAATTATTAATATCTTTATCTTAGCTTAAGCGATATTATAATCGAGTTCTTTATTTTATTATTAAAGAATCTTAATATTACGATTAATAGTTCGAAAGCTTTCTATTAATATCTTTAATTTATTATATTAAATATTAGAAGTTTTAATAGCGCTTTTTATAAAATTCTATAAGTTAAAAATAAAGATAAAAATTATAATTAAATCTTTTTCGATAATATTCGTAAATTATACTTCGATATAACTTAAATTAGATTTAATAATATATCTTCTAGAGATAAAACGCTTTTTCTTATATCGTGCGAATAATTTAGCTTTACTAATATTTAAAACCTTCTTATCGAAGTTCTTAAGATTATTTAAATAATAATATATCTATAATTTATCTATAACGATTTAACTTTAAATATTATCTAGATTTAGAGTTAAAGAGTTTATAGCTAATATTAAACTAGTAAATATATAAAGAAGATTTAATCTAGAGTCTATTTCTTTTAATATATTAAAGATATTTATTTTCTTTAGATTCTTATTTAATCTAGTTAGATTAGCCTTTATATAAGTAAAAGATTTTCTTTTAAATAATCTTTTAAGTAGTAAGCTTCTTTAGCTATAACTATTAACTTTTTAACTATATATTTAATATAATTAATAAATAAATCGCTATTATTTTAAAAGAAAGA